CCCCCCCCCCCCGCCCCCTCCCCCTCCCGCTCCCGTCGAAAACGTGTCTCATTATTTTATTCTTTACTCAGAGTACCTAATATTCAATAGTGTGATCATTCCTTTTTCCAGTCACAATGCCGATTGATCTATATTTCTTCCCTCCAAGTGCGCCTTGCAGAGCTGTCTCACTCGCCGCAAAACTGATTGGTGTGGAACTGAACATCAAAAACACTAACCTAAATACGAAGGATCATCTGACACCGGAATTCCTCAAAGTATGTCAATGGTGATATTTATTTTTTTTTTTTTTTCGACAGACCTTATGGAACGCATGTAAACTCTAGTAAAGAAGTGGCCAACTTTACCTATTTTTTAAGGATTCTTCGGGTATGTTTTATCAAGGGCTAAAGTCGGAAAAAGCTCACCCGTCTACAATTGAAACATTATACAAGGTCCCGTTCGCGTTTTGTTTTTGTTTTTTAAAAAAGAGACCATGGAACGTAGTTTCTCTCAAACTTCAGTGACTTTCCCTCACTCGTTTAAATAAATTTACAGGAAGTCTCAATGAGATATCTTGGCTAGTTGTTACCCCCAAAAATTAATCGAAGATTTTTAAACGTTGCAAAACTATGTTCATCGATAGTCATTTATAAACATAATGCATGACCGAGTAAAATAAGCCATGGACTCTAAATATAAACCTCGTGTTTACATTCATTACCTGGTTTCTGGTTTCTCGTAAAAAAGTCAATGAAAGGACAAATTTTTAAATGACTGCAACATTGACGCACTTTTGCACTGAGCCTCCTGAGAGATCTTTCAAGGGTATGCTGCATAGGTTTGTGAAATAAATAATCTATCTGCCGAGAAAAAATTGATACCCACGCATGTGATCGAATTTGGTTTTAATGTAAAAACATCTAAATATTTTTTCAGCAGATTTGAATTTTAGAATCAAAAGTTCTTTGTACCGCCCGTGTTCATTTTTATAAAAATAAAATTATTGTTCTTTTTTATTTTAGATGAATCCACAGCACACGGTTCCAACAATAAATGATAATGGATTCTTCCTTTTCGAGAGGTGTGTACCTACTGTGTTGTGTGTAGAGAGATTCGATACGGGCTAAGTACTCATGCAACTTTTTTCAAATGTGCGCTCGGGAATATGGGTAGATACTGCTTTGTAGCGTAGCCATCCTAGGGATCGTTTGTAATCACTTTCTCATGTACCAAAACAAATTTTTGGAATAAAACAAGGAACTCAAATGGTGGCTCGGGAAAGTGTATTACTACTGAATCTGCAAGTATGTCAGCCTTGCCTCTCCATTACTTGAGCATGCATTCAGATGCAGGATTGACAAATATTCACAATTCCTCCAATGATTGTGCTCGTATAGAAGTCCGACGATTTTTATTTTATTCAGGGAGAATTGGAATAATTTAACTAAAATTAACTTGACTACATACGCACATTATCTAATTTCCTCCTAGTTTTACTTAATTATTCAACAGAAAGCTGCAGGGCAACATTTTGATTCTAAATATAGTGGATATTTTCTTCTCACTCCAGAGGAAAGTCACAGGAATTTTCAAGGCTCCATTTTCTTTCGTTCTCTATTAAGACAAATAAAATAAATAATGGGAGGAAATGAGGCAACATGAAATGCAGTATGCAGTTAGGATGGTTCTGGTTAAATTTAATCAATTACACTGGTTACCACACCCGTTTTTGAATTACAATGAATGACGTTCCTATGCGAATTGAAAAGAAATAGAATAATACAGTGGTTATTAGTTAATTTTACTAAAATATGTGTCCTTTCCATGTTTAGCCGCGCTATCATAATGTATTTGTTTAACAAATATGGGAAAGACGATTCATTGTACCCAAAAGATGCTCAGAAGCGTGCGATCGTGGACCAAATGCTATGTTTCGATATGGGCACTCTCTTCCAAAGATTTACGGCTTATTACGTACGTAAAGAGACAAATTCTCGAAATTTCTTCCTTCTAAATTTTTTCAACAAATTAAAAAATCTGTTACGCACTGTTCAGTCAGCTATTGCTAAAGTTTTGGCGTGAAAGAGGAAAATGTAACAAAACTAACAATAAAATCATGCTAAATATAGTGACGCAGTGTAGTAAGTATAGTGGATTTTCGATTCCTGGCTATGTAATAGGAGCAGGATCCAAATGGGTATTTTCCATAGGGCGCTAATGAGAAAAAGGAACAAGAGGCTCTTAATAATTAAGTTAATTGCAATTTTCGCTTCAAAGTCTCACCCAACCAACAGCTTACAAATAATTCTTCCTTTATTGGTGGTTAATTATGTTTTACATCGAAACTTTCAGAAAATGTTCGTCAAATCACAGAGGAAAATTGCAAAACAATTTGAAAAAATTTAACCGTTTTTGAGTAAATAACTTCATTCTCAGTTAAAACTTTGCAATGCAATTAAGCATTATATGGCTCTTATGCCTTTTCAATAGTGCCCTCCTTCTAAATTTCACCATTGTGTAATGATGTCTCCTCTTAGCTGCGAAAAATCACTTAAACCTACTTACTTTGAAACTTTAACCTACTTTTACCTATTGTGCAGCGACCAGTGATCTACGAGGGAGTTCCCTTTGACCCGGAAAAATTGAAAAAAGTCGAGGAGGCCATCGAATTTTTCGAAAAAATGTTGGAAGCAAGAGGTGGCCCTTTTGCCGCCGGGAGCACTATCACCTTGGCTGACGCAGCTTTGATTGCATCCATCTCATCAATTGACGTACGTATTTTCACTTCAATATAGTATCAAAATTTTAAGTCAGTAAACTGTTTCCTCTTTACAAAGACAAAATTTCTTACCGTTAGGTACTCTCTTAAAACATTTTCAATCAATTATCTCTTATCAATCTTTTAATTGAGTGTAAATAATATATCACCAACGTACCATTTAGTTTTTATTATTCCTCATTGTGCCATTAGAGAGCTTGAAGTTGCATAATAATCCAGCAGCTTTGGAGTCTTGAACGTATTAGGTTGTAATTTCGAATTCCGTTTTCCCAAAGTTTCTTGAACTGCAAACTCAAAGTCACGTGTCACGTCTTGGTCGACGCTGCGGGAGGGGGGGGGGTTATCCCTTGGAAATTGTTTCCCCAAGAAAAGTGCATTCCCCTAGTAGTAATATGACCTTAAAAAGTACTTTTCAGAAACTCCTTAAAAAACTTGTTAAAATTATTCCTCGAAAACCCCATTATGCTGAGGTATTTCTTGAGTAAAATTTACGTCAGATAGAAAAATTCACGCCAAAAAAGGTCTTACGACAAAATTATGTACCAATTTTTTTAAGAGTTTCTTGATATTTTTTTTAAAAAAAAATTTAGGTGTTAAACAACTACAGTAGACATTTTAAGAAAATGTTAATACTTTTTTTTAAACTTAAATTGTACTTCCCTCTTGCAGGAACTTAAAAAAATATCCAAAGTGTGTTTCTTGAAACATACATTTTACTTTTCAAGAGTTGTCGTTTTCAAACGTACGATCTTCTTAAAAGTTTGTTTAACAATCATTACAGCGTTACTACTAGCATAGCGGCTCTAAGCTGTGGCATTAATCTCTTCAATTTGATATTTCGTCACCTGTCGGTCAAAGTATCACAAGCACCACGCGACGTTTCAAAATTTCTTATTTATTTTCTTACAGAAAAATTGTTGGTTGAATCTGTTTGAAAATTTTACTGAATTTTATCGGCAGCAAAAAGAAAATTCAGTGAAATTTTCGGACAGCTTCGTTGAAAAATTTCTCTCTAAAAAAATAGAATGACGACGGAACTTTTGAAACGTCGCAAGGCGATTGTGATACTTCGGCCAAAAGGTGACGATTTGTTGGATTGAGGGCCTTATTCCTCGTGGACGGTTTTGAGGAGTTATCTCATGGTGATTTTTGTTGCAGGCAATTGGAGCAGTTGACTTGAGCAAATACCAACATGTCAATAATTGGTTCAGCAGATGCAAATTAGCAATACCTGATTACGAGGGCGTTAACGGCGGAGGAATTGCCGCCTTTAAACAACGCGTGCGACGTGGAGCGTCAAAATAATTACTAAAACTCATCTCAAAATAAAGACTATGAATAAAATAATATAACTGTCGATTATTCTGCTCAATCCAATTTTAACACACAAGCTCAATCGTGCATAGCAGGACACGACAGGCTTTAGAGTTATTCAGCCCCTGAGCGCAACGCCATGCGATGCTTTGAATGCGAGTCGTGTGACTATCTCCTGAAATGAATTGCTCACAATTTTCATAAACGCAGCTTTGCGTCTCGTGAGTCTGGTAAAAATTTGTAAACATTTCATAAAATTTAGATTTTTCCCGCCTTCCGGTCAACGAAAGTTCCACCAAACCGCGCTCAGCACTGATTAGCCGTTATGCACTTGCGCGCGTTGGAAAAGCTGCGCGGGTAGCGAAAATTAATGCAGCATTTTTTTCGTGTTTTTCAATGCAAGTCGTGCGGCACAACCTGAGATGAATTCTTCATAGGTTTCATAAGCGTATCATCGTCTTCCGTAAACGGTTATAAGACGTTTCGTCAACGATTTTTTGTCCGCGCACCTGTTTTTTCCAGTAATTTACGCCCACGTGTTTTTTCGGCTCGGGAGTTTTGGTTCACGTGCCAGTTGAGACCCAAAGTTAATTGGCCCACATGTAAATACAAATGACCATTGCTCACGACGTTTTTGGATACAAATGTATGTCTTGGAAGAATGAGGGTTTGCTTGTTTTTTTTTTTGTTTTGTCTGTTTGGTCCAACGGAGAATAATATATAGTTAAGAGTTTTGGTAAAAATGGGGGAGCGTCAATTCCGTGAGACAAAATTCACTGAAACTCTCTACACCTCTCTGGTGTAACAGGACTTAATTATCTCTCAAGAAATTCCCACCTTGTTATACCTGAACCGGATAAACCTTTATATTTGCCTCAGCTAAAGGCTCTTAGATTTTTCCTGTGTACGATAAGTATCTTGATTTATTTTGCGAGGAAAGATCTGTACTTTTAAAGGATGCCTGTCATTCTTAATACGTTCAATTCCGTATAATACTGTGCAACACCTCTTTTGTGAAATAGTTGCTTCAGGCGCCGCCGCACGGCGGGCATGCTGCCAGCGCGAGAGGCTCACTGGCGCCTACAAACCTAAGTGGATACATCAAGCATTGTGCAATGCGTGAAGTATCCACTTAGGTTTGTAGGCGCCAGTGAGCCTCTCGCGCTGGCAGAACGCCGCCGCTCCGCTCTGTTAGGCTTTAATATTTATACTCGCATAGTCAGCGTTTTTTAACTCATGATTTTGAAATGTTTGCACACTCTCTATTGATTAATCTCATTTAAATTGATAGGAAAAAAATATGTATCAATTTATCAAAGGAGAATAATAATATAATGTGTGTTTTTTAAATACGTGTATTGGCGGTTCCGTGTTTTTAATGATTTCGAAAGCACTTTAACTTTTTCTTTTACATTTTGTGCTTTTATTGTGCTGCAGCGAGGTGTACGCGCAACCAAACGCTCAAAATTTGACGTATTTGACTCTAAAAGATCGATGTACAAATGGGTTAAAACTAAAGATTGCGTGCTTCTTGGTTTTTTCCCCTCTTTTATTAATTTTTGTAGTTTCTGTCGGCACAACTGCGGCTCATTGAGATTACTGTCACTTGGAAAAGGTTTTACAAATATTTGCCAAGTTTTAAAAATATAAATGTTTTCAAAATGAAGTAATGATTTCGTAAAGAAAAAATTAAAAAAATAAAAAAAGTACCTATACATATATAAGGTATATCGTACATCGAATATTGAAATAAAACCAAATATTCACCAATGACAATTTAAAACGATGATTCAAAAGGAGAAAGAAATAACATTTCATTTAGAAAATGAGCAACCATAACAACACCTCTTTCTCTCTCAATTTCTCATTTCCATATTGTCAATATAATTTTACATACCGACTAAAATATAACGCTTGGACCAAGTCACTGTTGCTTATTTTATGTGTGGGCGTAAACTACTGGACAAAAAAGGTGCGCGGACAAAAAATCGTTGACAAAATGTCCTGAAACCCCGTAAACCTCTCGAAAAATTTCATATTTTCCCGCTTTTCGGTCAACGAGTGAATTGTGCAGCGTGCACTGACCGCGCTCACAGCTGATTGGCCGTTGCACTTAGCGAGCGGCGAACGGCGCGAAAAGATGGCGGGAAATCTAATCATTCATTTGTACCGTCTTGACATATTTTCCCCCAAAAGGCGGCGAATTCCAGTTGGATTAGGTGGGTTAGGTAAATAATATTCACAATCGGTAAAATTATTTTTTTTTACCACCGATAGTTTTTGATAAAACTTAATGTTTAATAATACAACCCTTTTTTTTCTTTTACGGATAAGTTTCCCCTTTCAGAAAATGTAGTGGCATTCACTAAGCATAGGTTGGTACCTTTTCAGTGTTTACATTCGTGTGAAGTCGGATAGTTGTGAGGTTAGAAAATTAAAAAACATCTGGTCGTGATTTCGAAAAATGCAATCTCGCCGAGTTTTCTTCTTCATTACAATTTCATCAGTGTAATTTTCCTTCAGTTTCAGTATACTGTTTTTTTTTATTTCCATCATAATCCATTGTCCTCTCATCAACGTTCTTCTCCCGTAAGTGTTAATCCAGTGAAGTTTAGGTACGAACTTCGGAAAGGCATGAGCTGCTTACCGAAGAAGTACTCATTTAAGTGGTTGAACTGATATGAATGATTGTTCTATGATTTCATATCGACCAAGTAGCATTAATTAGCTGCTTTTCCAGGATTATTTTAATACTGTAGACCTTGAGACAAACTTGAACCAATCTTTGCCAACCAAACCGAAATATCTGTGTCTGTATGTTGGGTTAAATTGTGCAACTTCATAATCTCCTCGCAAGCACAATACTCGACCACCATCGCGTTTATTTTCTGCCACTGGATCAGCAGTGTCAATTATTTTCAGATTTTGGAAGTTCTTGTAAGTACTTCAGGCTCTTTCCTTGTGTTTGTGAATGTCTGGAAGAATTTGGGTCAGAATGATCGAAGACCAACAACACATTCATGTTTCCTACATTAGTAATTCAGTCTAAAGCAAAGAGAGAGAAGTATTTTTCAGCATAAATTGTACCCTGCCAACAATTCAAAGTTGAAAAAAGTGTTTTAACATAAAAGTCCTGTCATATTTTACTCGAAGAGCTTTTCCACGAAAGATATTGAGTGTAATATATCGACGGTGTAAGTCGGCAATCACATAACTCGTTTGCGGTGTCTGAAAATCTTTGCCTCTATGTTATTCTTTTAAAGGAGAACAAATTGACATCATTCTTTGAAATTTATGCAGAATTTTTTTTGCACAGAGAAGAAAATTCACGGGTGTTTTAAAGAATTGCGTTTGAGTAGTTTTCCATTTAAAAAATAAAGTATGACAGGAAGTCTGCGACATCGCAAAACAAGTCATATGATTGCTGACTTACACCGTCGAAATGTATGTAGTTATGTACAATTGTAATGTGTACATATTAAAATAATGTACACTTGCTAATAGAAGATAATATGATGGACTTCGATACCGTTAGTTCAGAATCACTCTTAAATGATTACCTTCATGGTCTAAGTTTCCATCCAACTTAAAATTGAGGGATATAATTTGATTAGGGCTAATTCGTACAGTACGCATACAGGGGGGGTGGTAATGTATGTAAAAAAGGGATTAGATTGTTTAGGGACTGAGGTAATATCAAATAAACTATTTTGGGTTATTAGTGTGGGTATAGAAAAGGGAAAGTAGAAAAAATTAAGATAGACATGCTTTATAGATCGCCAAACACAAGCTTGAGGGGATTTTTGGATTGGTTTGAAGTAAGGTATTCTAAAGAAATTGAGTCAGTTAGGGAAGGTCTGGTTTTAGGGGATTTTAATGTAAGATGGGATTTAGATAGGGACTGGGGAAGAAAGAAGTTAAAAGAAATTACTGATAATTTAGGGATGGAACAGCTGGTAAAAGAACCAACAAGAGTAGTAAAAAACTCATCCTCAAAAATTGATTTATTATTTCAGTGGGGGAGGCTAGGGAAAGAATGCGTGTGCAAGGTAGTGCACGAGAGAAAAGTTAGTGATCACAGCTAGGGATGTCGATACTTATCCGATACTTGCAAAGTATCGATACTTTCGATCGATACTTAACGATACTCGGCATCGATACTCCACGATATCGATACCATGCAGTATCGATGCCAAGACCCCCGTATCGACGGTATCGATACTTAATCTGATTTGGCCATGAAGAAGGCCTCTTTTTCTTTTTTAAAAAATTCTCTCCCCACTATTTCACCTTCATGATGCACTGTGACAAACGACGGAGTAATC